ATATAACAAAACATTTCCAAATTACAAAGGTCAAAACTGTATTTATGGCTGCATCAATCTAAGTCAGTAAGGAATTATTGACTCATCAAAAACCAGTCTTCTTGGGCCAACTGGTTTTCCTCTGTGTGCTCTTTAATTCATAGGACGTTGTCTGTGAATTTTATCTTCACGAAAGTGCTGCTCTTCGAATGCTATGAACACTGTCAGTGGGGAAATGAACGCATCACTGCTGTGGAGAGGGGTCTGTCCCTCTTTCAACACCTTAGGAGACTGCTTTGCAGCCCTGGTCCTAAATATAGGATATTCTGAGGCTTAAAGAAATTTAAGGTCCTTCCTTAGTTCCTCATATGAGTACACGTCAGTGGCACTTCCTGAGTTCTTTCTATAGCAGATACACATCAAAATGTGCCCCTAAAGAATCACTCTTATGATTTTAAAGAGTGACACAAATTCAGTTTTAGTCCTCACAATTTTTCTGTAATTCACGGTCAATCTTGGCTTCGACGCAAGATACCAAATTTAACACTTCCTGTCTAGGGAAAATCAAACATCCTCCGACAGACGGCCAAGTGCTCACAGATGTAAGAATCCCTCAATGCATAGAAGGGCAATGTTTGGGGCACTCTGCCTCTGCCTGGACTGTCCCCCGGGGTCTCTAAGACCACTTATGGCATTAAAGGCAGCTGTGCCAGAAGACTGGCCATCAAGCCAGGTCTTGACTGAATTTTTTATAAGTGTCCCCCTTTTCTCTTTTATTTTTGAGTATAGCTCTTCAGCTTCTACAGTTAACTGACAACAGATTTAACAAGAACCTTTGTGCCACAGGTCCTTGGCACCTTGTTGGGCTTGTCATACAGCCTGCTTTTTGTTGCAACTGGCACGAGATCAGAGCCATGCTCACGGGATTCCTTAGCCAAGGCGGCACTGGAGATCCTGAACCATCCACCTTAGAAGACAGAGAACTAGGGTGATCAAGCATCCCGGTTTGCCCAGGACTGAGGGGTTTCCTGGGATGCAGGACTTCCAGTGTTAAAATTGAGAAAGTCTCCTGCAAGCCAAAACAAGTTGTTCACCTGATGGGGAAGTAACCATCTTGGCCTCATTGGAACCATATCTGCAGTTAGTAGAAATATTCCAACTAAATCTAGATGTCATAGTCTATTAAAAACTGCTGGGGACGTCAGCAATCATCTACCCTCTCATTTTTGCAGATACTCAGACTCAGAGCAGTGTAGACATTTTCCCAAGGTCACACAGCTTGCTAGTAGCATATCAGGAACCAGACTCTAGATGGCCACGCTTCCAACTTAGGGCACTTGCCGCTGCATTTCATTTTATTTTTGCTCATTTTCTTTTTATTGCTCTTTTTAAAGTGTAAAATAAGTTCAGCTGGTTTTTCTTTTGACCACAGGACTCGGCCGTTAGAACAGTGTAAACCTCTCTTACTGTTTATGTTGGAGACCACTTTGGGTGGTACTGATGTTGGGATGGTGAATCGAATCAGAGTGTTGTAAACGGCCTCAATTGATCACCATCTGTATTACTGCACGGCATTCATTCCTACCTGTCATTTCTACGGCCCATGGAAGTATTTTCAACAAGCAACTGTTATCACCAAATGCTACCCTTCACAGAGAGTCACATGCCAGGACAATGTACCCCTGGGTGAGAGGATCGTGTTTGTGACTAGCTCACAGGTACACGGCTTAACATCTAGAAAATGCACGAAAATCTTGCTTCTTCACACCTACTTACATTCTTTCAAAGGGAAGATTTAAGGTGCCTGCTCTAAAAATTGAAGTTAACATACAAAACAATTCTAAGCACTTTACAGATATCATCTCATTAATCCTCATCACACCCCTATGAGAGAGGTACTATTACCCCATTTCACATATAAGGAAACTGAGGGACAGAAGGGTTAAGTGACTAGGCCAGAGGTTTTGCTGTTTTTTAACTCTAGTAAGTGTCAGTCTATGCTCCTGAGCATCATGCTGTCAGAGGAGAAAACAGAGCTCGGGGACTACAGTAAAGCAAACCAAACCATAATGTGGTCTTGGAAAGCAAGGGCAGGGAAAAGCGGAGGGATGTGTTGTTGGGGTACAGGGAGATCAATCAGGTCAAGATCTGTAGTGAAAAGGAGTGACTCCGTTGATTTCTCCATGCAATATACATGGAGATGGTAGTATGTTTCAGCTCCTAACTTCCACCTTCATTGGATATCCTCACACAAACATATTATGTACCAAACACCCTATGTCCTGCTTCAGTCCACGCTGGAATAGAGGCAGCCGGTTCTGGAAAATTCTGCCACCGAGTATCATCTGTAACAGCAGTCCCTTCACAAAGGTCTTGCTGATCTCCCCAGCCTGATTAGCCTCTGAACCCCAGAGGATCTTTCCCTTTGACACTTAGCCTGTCCACCCCACAGCTCAGCTGGTGAATTTGGTAGGAACTGCCTTTTAAAATGAAACACTTCCGAAGAGGTGTGACAGCATTATTAGGTGGAATTGTAAAGTTGGTGAAATGTTTTTGGTGTTTCCATCTCTCCTTCATTTTCTTCCTCCCTTCTTGTACATTCTATCATGTTCTGTCTTAAACTGTGATCTTCTCTGGCAGACTTGGTTTTAGTTATCTTTCACTGCGACTTTGAAGACAAAATGTTGCCACTCTCCTCACTGTCCACACTTTAAAGCTGAGCTTTACCGGGAGAATTATAAATTTACTTTGTCCCCACAAGAGTAACCTAGAGCATCACCTAATAAGTAGTTGTTTTATGGGAGCAGGAAACTCTTTTTGGTGCTTGTGAAATCAAAACACATGAAAAACTTCCATGGGGCCTACATTTTAGTTTGGTCTGCTCCAATCTATGGATATAGAACATTACTACTTTCATGTGTAAACACACTGGGCAATCTTCAATTTTATAGGAAACATCTAGAATTATCAACCTGGATGGCTTATGTGGCACAGCTCTTACACTTTGGGGCAAGGAGATTGTTAATCAGTCCTTCAAAAAGAAACACCTTCAAAATAGAGAAGAGCTGACTTCAATTAACTTCTGGCTTTCCTGTAATTTTATATGTTGGGTTATAATCGTGAAGTAGCAAATATTTTCAGGTACCCACCCCATCAAAACACATCACTCCGTCCAAACGTATTACTCCACGATAATGATACAAACTATGAAAGAAAGAAGTAGCATGATTTTATTGAAATGTTTTAGTACAGCGTCAGAAGATCTTAAAATCCTATATTCTAAACCAATACAAGCACTGCAAATGATACATTCTTGAATCTGGTTGACATCATGTCTAACAAAGGAAAGTTATAATATGAATATCTATAAGTTAGTTAATATAATTTAAGTTGGAGGCTGAGCAACTTTGGTATATTCGTATTTCTCTGGCTCCCACTTTCGGCTGGATACACACCAAGTACCCCCATTCAGCAGAGTCAGACGAGACCGATGTATTTGGCGGTTTCACTTAAATATTTCCAGACAAGCAGCAAAGGATGCACAGGTTCTGGGATTAAGTTGCTTTCAAGCCCATCTTCAGCATCTTTGTCGAACTGAAACCATCAAAGAGTTAAGGTCTACAGTGCCACTGTGTATGGCTAAGTCTAGTTTAATTAGTTGATAAACGTATTAGAAGTACTTTAAAATACAAAAGTGGGGCTAAATAATGATAGAAACAATCAGTTCTTAATTCAGAGAAGGACAATATAGATTTTTATCTAAAGACCATTATTTTAAAACTACTTCTATATCTTAGACTCTAAATGTTAGATGAAATAATTACCTTGAAATCAACTGGTTTTAGTCATGTCAACATGTCTATACTTGTATGCTGAGCGGTCTACCTATGCATGTTTATAACTACATTTTCATGTCTCTATGCACAGAAACTCCAAGAAATACAGATCACTCATTTATCAAAACTAAAAATTACATAGCATCTAAATAGGCTCTTTACATATATCAAGTCAACTCTTTCTAGATAGAGTCAATCTGCGTTGCATAGCTGACTCTACTAGGCTACAATATCATTTTTTCTCAAAAGCCATTTTAAGGTACAACAAAATGCTAGTTTCTGCAATGACTAAAATGATACTTTTTAACTTCGATTCAACCTCTGCTGTAATGAAGTTTGAAACTTTAAAGATTTCTGTTCAAGTCTGTTAATGAATAAATAGATTGGATTTTCCCACCTGCAGAATTTGGATCAGAGAATGTATTCTATTCAAGTTTTAAGAGTCAGCAGAAGGGAGATTGTTCATCATTCCTAGGCTTTGTCTCTGTAGGCAAATTCTTTTCTTTTGGGACTGAAGATTTCAGTTGGTTATCCACCAACGTGCATATAATAAGATCCACAGAGAGTCAATGCTTGCCTTCTGCCACAGAGGCAGGGAGGCCCCTCACTTAGGAAGATATCGTCAAGGTCATCTTATGGATAAAGCAATCGTCCCCTCCACGATCACTCCTGGGTCACCATTTGAACACTATCCCAAGGGAGCAACTAATGTGTGCTTATTTGTACTTTTTTCGTAGGCCTTTCTTACTCAGACTTTTCACGTTAACAGCTTTAGTTAAAATAATCAGTCGCCCAGGAGACTTACTACTTCTAATTACAAAAGGCAAAAGAACATTAAATCAAAACTAAAGATAAAATATTTCAATTCACACTTGGCGGCACTTAAAAAATTTACCTTTTTATTACGTCAAAAGCAAAACAATGACTAGACCAGTAAATCTGAGGGGACTTAGAGGGGGATCTTTGTTTTGGTGGAAATCCACAACATGAAATTATTGGGAAAAAGGCCAAGTAAATGCTAGAGCTAAAAACAGGGCATAAAAGAACAAGATGGCAGGACACGAGGTGAGGCTCAAAGAACAGTCCATTCGGGATGGGCAGAGGAGAACATGAATGTGACAGTGAGCTTGCAGACTCTATCTCAAAACAGTTTCTAAATCATATCTGTGGCTGAACATAATTTTGGAATTTTAGGACACGACATTTCAGGTAAGTGATAGTTGTAACTTGTTTTTCAAAAGTGGCAAAAAAAAAAAATACTGAGCTACATGGCCTCTGAGATGTCTAATGTTTACCAAAAAATAAACGTGTCAGTGGCATCTTAACCTACATAAAATTTGGTCCAAATTAAGCACAATAACCAAAATGGTTTATTTGAAACCTGGTTACTAGAAAAAAAAATATTCAAAATTCAGGGTATTATAAATTTTCTAAGGTTCACTCAGAAGTAAAAGGCTCATTCTATACAGGGTTTTACCCAAATGTCCATAGGCATTATCATTATATATTTACACAGAAGGCTTTAATCTAAAGTCACCTTTGGCAACCAGAAATATATAAACTATGAACTTCCACAATGGAATTACATACTTGAAAGTTGTGGCCTCAAAGTACTGACAAAACAAAGGAAAAAGTCACCTATCAGAACAAGTCAAGATGACAAAAACATTTCTCATTTAAGACAGTTCACTTAAAGATCAAATAACCACCGCTCTCCCCCCAAAACTGGAAATAAATGGTCTTGAGCTTTAGAAGGGGGACAACAGATCTTGGAGTACACAAAGCTCTGATGCTTTTGCATTACCCTATAATTGCTGAGTCCTAAAGCTAAAAAATCAGACAAATAGAAGCCAGAGCAGGCTTGCTCTACACTTCACATCCTGCATTTACAGCGGGACGTGGCTGAACAGGTAAGACACAGATTCACCGTTGTGTGTCCTTCGGATCGCCTCGGCCAAGATCATCGAAATGTCAATCACCTAAACACCAACGGAAAAACATGAAAGTGGGACATCTTAGTCATAATTAAAAACTTAGAAGCCAGAAAGCCTAAAAATGATTTCGCCAGCACATGAGATGTGGTACTATCAAAACCTCCCACACCCTTTTCTTTTGAGATGACAGACAGTTTGGGGTCTATCTTCAAATTACAAACCCGAATGGGATCCTGGAAGTGAGAGTTTCAGTGCAGATACTCAAAGGCTTTTCAGGGTCGCCATTAACCAGAGACATCACTTTCTTGGGGAGTTTCTTGTTTTTAAATTAATTTTACTCAATCGCTATATGGAAATTTTTTCTTTCTCTTGGTTTTCCGAAAACGCAGTGACTGTGTCATTTAAGAGCACAGCTGTGATCATCTAATTCAGGGGTCAGCAAACTACTTTTTCTGTCAAGGGCTCGATAGTAAATATTTTCAGCTTTGCAGGCCACACTCAACTCAGTGATAGCATGAGAACAGCCACATAGACAATACATAAACGAATGGGCGTGGCTGTGTTCCAACAAAACTTTATTTACAAAAAAAGATGGTGAGCCGGATTGGGCCTGTGGGCTATAGTTTGCTGACTCTCAACTACTGCTAATCAGGCATAAAAATCTCAGGCACAGCTATTTTGACCATTTTCAAACGTTATCTCCCTGTGTCAAATGAACTGTGGTGCTACCTGATGGATTAGAAATCACGAAGTGGATCACTTGGATCCATCTGCATGTTCTAATGATAGGAAAGGAGGCTTCTAGCAATGAAATGACTTGCCAAGGTTCCCTGTGACACAGAGGCAAAATGGGGACTTGAACCCTTTCAACTTATTTCAGGCTAGTTGGTGTCAAGTGATTATCCCCAATGCTCTAGTAGCTTCCCAAATCGTCAAAATGTCAAATTTTATGTAGTAAAATATATGTAACATAACAATTCAGTGGCATTAATTACATTCCCAATGCTGTGTAACCATCACTATTATCTATTTTCAAAACTTTTTAATCATACCAAACAGAAACTCTGTCCCCATTAAACACTGACTCCTCATCCCCAGGCAACCACCAGTCTACTTTCTGACTCTATGAATTTTACTACTCTAGGTCCCTCAGATAAGTGGGATCATACAATATTTGTCCTTTAGTGACTGGCTTCTTTCACTTAGCATACTGTTTTCAAGGTTCATCCATGTTGTCACATGTGTCAAGAATTTCCTTCCCTTTTAAGGCTGAATACTATTCTATTGTATGAATAGACCATGCTTTAGTTATCCATCACCTGTTGACGGACATTTGGCTGTTTCTACCTTTCGGTTACTGTGAATACGGCTGCTATGAACATTCGTGTACAAGTTTTTGTTGGAACACCTGTTTTCAAATTTTGGTATATACCTCAAGGTGGACTTGCTGGGTCATATGGTAATTCTGTTTAGCTTTAGCACAGCCTGTTTCTTACTGTTTTCCTATTGTGGTTTTATTCACTTACTATTTTTAACTTTGACGTCTGCCAGCCCCAGCCTTTCTTGGAGATCTAACGTGAACCATACCCTCACTGTTATGAGAAGCCGCAACCTCTGCCAACATCTGCTTAGCAAGCAGTCACATGCAGAAGACTCAACGTTATTTCTCAGGATCTGAGGTAGGTGCCTCGCTGCTTGGTTCTGCCTGCAGTGTAGACAGTACCTGAATCTTGGAGCAGTGTCTCATTTTGTCCTCTTGCGGAATTGTGTTAGTGACAACAACAGCCTCAAAGGCGGCATTATTTATTCTGGAAATAGCTGGCCCAGAGAAGATTCCATGGGTAAGGATAGCATAAACTTTGGTGGCTCCAGCTGAGAGTAACCTGTAAAATGGAGGACAAAAAAATTTAGTGTACACACAAATATTCTTTTTTTTTTTTTTTTTTTAAGATTTTATTTATTTATTTTTCCCCCAAAGCCCCAGTAGATAGTTGTACGTCATAGCTGCACATCCTTCTAGTTGCTGTATGTGGGACGCGGCCTCAGCATGGCTGGAGGAGTGGTGCCTCGGTGCGCACCCGGGATCCGAACCCGGGCCGCCGGCAACGGAGTGCACGCACTTAACCGCTAAGCCACGGGGCCGGCCCATACACACAAATATTCTTGAAACATTCTCTCCTTAGTGTGAATTTAAAAGCAAAAAGTGTGTTCCATAAAGGAAAACATGAAACCAATTTCACTCACATTTATTAGCCCAAAACAGGATCTTTCAAGGTACGTGCTGGCAAAACACTTTGTGAACCATTAAATCTGGGATTATCAACCATGGTGTTGGGCCCGGGTAATCCTTTGTTGTATAGCATCCTTGGCCTCTACCCACTAACAACACCCACCTCCCCTCAGTTGTGACAGCCAAAAACGTCTCCAGACATTGTCAAATGTCCCCCAGGGAGCAAAAGTGCCCTTGGTTGAGAACCACTGATTTAAACCAATAAAGCCAGATATCATCATTTTGACATATAATCAATATAAAATATCATTAATGAGATAGTTTACATTCTTTGTTTCACGCTTTCTTTGAAACTTGGTGTGTATTTCACACTCTCAGCGCATCTCAAGTCAGACTGATCACATTCCGAGTGCTCCACAGCCATGCATGGCTCGGTCGTGGCTCCCACTCTGGACAGCCCAGCTCTATATCCTCCGGAAGCCCCAGGCTGGAGTGAAGGTCGAACAGAAGGAAGCAAGGGCCCAAAGAAGCCCACAAGACTGTCTCTTTCCTTCTGTGCTGGGTTTTAGGGGAAGCACCTTCTCTGACCCTTTTTAAAATACACTGAAAGCTCAATCTTGAAAATGAAAACCAGGTCATAAAGGCCCGTGGGGCATTTTTCTACCAAGAAAAAATAAATGGGCTTAGAATTTCCTTTGGTCTGATGCCACCACCACGCCATCAGTAATAATTAGGGAAAGCAGGCCCAGTTTTTAAAAGCTAACTTTTTTCCTTTCCTAATGAGATGTCCTAACACTTTCCCAAACCATCCCTCGTACTTGTCCGCAGCGTGGCAGATCGTGCCACATGTGTCAGCCATGTCATCCACAAGGATAGCCACGCGGTCCTTCACATCGCCCACCAGAACCATCCGGTCCACTTCATTCGCTTTCTTCCTCTCTTTGTGAATCAAGGCAAATTCCACATTCAACCTGTCTGCAATTGATGTGACCCTGTGCAGAGACACAAGCAGACATGTTAAACACAGTCAATAAAAAAAAAATCTTGTTCTTTAAAGTGCTATTTTAGGAATATAGTAACCAACCACACTCAAGATAATGAGAATCAGCTCCCACTTGTAAAGCCAGGCCTGCTCTGGGAGGTGAATTAAGCAACCCACGGGGAGAAATGTGCCAGTGCTGTGGCCTTGCATTTACTACAGCTGGTGAAGAATGCCGGGGCACCTTGACCACTGGATGAAAAAACTGGATAAGAAATTGATATTCAATTTGTTGTGTTTATAGGTACTCTTCAAAAATCAAGGACACAACTTAAAGCAAGTTATTTAGAAACTGCCATTTGCTCAGCCTGTGGGGCAGCCAGTAGGGACAAAAGTCCTGGTTAACACATTCACGTAATCTGTGGGCTTATGAACATGGACTTTACTGCACTCAAGGCCTCAGGAGACTCATCCCAACTCCAGGCCTCTGCCCATCTACAGCCAACGCTCAGAAGTCATCTGCTCAGAAAGGGCTGAGCTGGCAACAGGAGGAGAAGGTGGCAGGCCAGGTGTGTCGGTGAGTCTGGGGCATTTGGGACTTTTCCCATGAAGAGTGGACTTAAATGATGAAACTTACCACAAAATAACGCCAGACATAATGTGACATGAAGTAAGATTTTCCTATTTCAGTTTTTAAAATGAGTCAGTTATTATGCAATTCAGCTGAAAAAATATTTACTGAGGAACCAATAACACACACCCACACACCCCAATTTAGTACACAGTGAATGGAGGGTAAAACCTCCGTACGCTTTTAAAGCCCTGGTCCCATTCACTGCGCCATCCTCAGATGGCGACCAGGAATGGGGCTCCATGGCTGCTCTGGTCAAGGAGAGAGTGGGCAAGTCTCTGAGAGGAACATACTTTCTGCGGCCAAGAGGGCAGGATGAAGGGACTAGGTACCGCAGGTCACCCTTGCCTGTTTCTGAGAACATTCAATGACCAGTTTTTTTTTTTCTAATTGTGGTAAAATAGATATATAATAGAATTTAACATTTTAACCATTTTAAAGTGTACAATTCAGTGGCATAAGTATTCATCATATTGTGCAACCACCACCTCTAATTTCCAGAACATTTTTATCACCCCAAAAGGAACAGTTTCATCATTAAGCAGTCACTCTCCCTTTATCCCATCCCCAGGCTCTGGCAACCATGAATCTACTTACTTTGTCTCTATGGATTTACCTATTCTGGATTTTTCATATAAATGGAATCATACAATAGGTGACCTTATGTGTCTGATGTTTTTCACTTAGCATGATATTTACAAGGTTGTAGCATGTGTCAGTATTTTATTCCTTTCTATGGATGAATAATATTCCATTGTATGGATATAGCACATTCTGTTTATCCATTCACCCACTGACGGACGCCTAGGTTGTTTCCACCTCTCGGCTATAGCGAATAGCGCCGCTATGAACACTGGCATACAAGTGTCTGTTTGAGTCCCTGCTTTCAAGTCTTTTGGGTATACAGCTACGGGCAGAATTGCTAGAACTGCCAGGTCATATGGTAACTCTGTGTATTACTTATTTGGCCAGTATTTTACCAGCTTCCAACTACCCTCTTCAATTTGATCAAAGAATACAGCCACCTCTTTCAGACCTCAATGTTTTTTCTACATTGGATTTAGCAGGGACATCTGTCACCTCAAGCAAGCGACATAAATGAAAATGAGACCTAAGGCAAGGCCACCTTCATTGCATGTAGAACTATCTCCATTCCCAGATGATGTTTTCGAGTTACATTTAGGCACTGCAGCAGACTAGGCCCTATCACCCATCCTGATGGAAACAACTACGATGCCCGATTACAAAGGCAAGTATCTTTAGAAGCTCATCGCCGAGCTGGAATGGTAGCAGGAATCTTCAGAGGCAGAGAATACAAAAGTAGGTTATCCCGAGGGGCCAGCCTGGTGGCGCAAGCGGTTGGGTGCGTGCGCTCCGCTGCGGCGGCCCAGGGTTCACTGGTTTGGATCCCGGGTGTGCACCAACGCACCGCTTGTCAGGCCATGCTGTGGCGGCATCCCATATAAGGTGGAGGAAGATGGGCACGGATGTTAGCCCACGGCCAGTCTTCCTCAGCAAAAAAAGGAGGATTGGCATTGGATGTTGGCTCAGGGCTGGTATTCCTCACACACACACACAAAAAAGTAGGTTATCCCGAGAAGCCAGCATGCAGCTAACTTCTTGCCCTGAGTGTGCTGAGGAGCCCTAAATGATCTTGAGCTTCTGTTCTGATGGCGGAGACTGGGGTGGGGGGGAGAGAAAGCCTAGGGCTCAGCCAAGCTGGAGTCTAACAGGAGACGCTGCGTACCACAGGGACGCCAAAGGTTATCCCTTCAGAATAATGAGTGAAAAATAAACCTGCTGCCCAGGTGGGGACAGCAAGGACACTTGCCTGTCTCCAACTCCATGCTAAGTGGAGGGGGCTAGTTCTCTCTTGAGAGTTCCAAACCACGTCAGCTCTTCTGAGGTTGTTTGTCCAAACTCCTATGACGTGTATGATGAAAACTCCCAAGTGGAGAATTCAATTCAAAGTGACACTTTGGGGCAGTATCCCAAGGAAATTGGCAACAACAAGTGCAAATCCTCTCTGAAGGATTATGATGATAAAATTCCAAGGAAAATGAGGGATTCACAGGAGTCACAAAACATCCAAGGAAGCAAGGCACTCAAAGTGAGGGCCACCAGAAACAACTGTGGACAGAGTCACCACAGCAAAACGTTAGACACTGGAATTAGCCAAGAAAGAACAAAAAATGATTTTTTTCTATGTTTTAAAGAAATAAAACAAGCTTGGATAAGAACGAAAAGACTACATAAAGAATGACCAATCAAGACTTGAGAAAGAGGAAAATTTCTAGAAATGAAAAATATTATATTTGAAATTAAAAACTTGGTACATAAAGAGATTAAATATACCTGAAGAGAGAATGAGTGAATTCGTAGAGATGAAGACACTGTCTAGAATGCAGCCTAAGAGACAAGAGAGATAGAAAATATGGAAAAGAAGTTAAGGGACATGAAGAACAGAGTGACAAGGTGACAGGAAAAACTGGAGGTCTAGAAAGAGATAAAAGAATGAGAAAGAGGCAATATTCAAAGAACAATGACTGAGAATTTTCCAGAACTATTGGAAGACACCAATCCTCTGACCCAATAAGCCACATAAATGAATCCCCGAGCAACTGTAATAAAACTATAGAAGATCTAGTAATGATAAAAGAGGCGAAGGATGAAGATAGGTCATCTAGAAAGGAATAGCAATCAAACCGATGGCCAAACTCTCAAAGCCAACAATAGAACCAGAAATTAGGGAAGCAGTATCTTTAATGTGATATCAGAAAATAACTGTCAGGCTAGGAGCCTATATCCAGGAAAGCCACCTTTCAAGAATAAGGGCAAAATAAAGATATTTTCCATGAAATTATACAACCTGAGAATTCACTTCCAACATACAACCACTTAAGGAAAATCCTAAAGAGTGCAACTTAAGCAAAAGGAAAATAATAGAAACCCTGAGATGTAATAGGGTGCAGCGCAGGGGGAGGTAAGCAAAAATACTGGTCAATATGTGGACAAATCTAAAAAACTGTTGATTGTATAAAACCACAATAATAAAAATAATGTCTAATTTGTAGAGAAGAAAAAACTACAGTGGACAACAGCTTTAAAGCACAAAAGATGGTGGTCATGAATCCAAATACGTCAGTAATCATAACGGAAAAGGGGTCAAACTTTCCAGTTAAAGACAGACTGTTAGATTAGACAAGAGAGTTAAGACACCAGTTCCAGAACTCCAAAGTCTCTGGAAGCAAAGGGAAGCATTACTATGATGAGGTTCATATTCTTCCTACCCTTAAAACAAATCATCCTTCTAAGCTGGAACCTAACCCAAGTTGCTCTGGCAGATACTCTGTGTTTCTAAAGCTCTCTATTTACCACTGGTTTCCTAACTTGAGGATTTAATTGAAAAAAAAAAATTAATTTGAATGCTGACAAAAATTTTGCCCCATAATCAACTTAAAGCCTATACTACTATCCGCATGGCAATTTCATAAACGATAAGCCATTTAAACTCCAATTAAGGGGCCTGGCCCCATGGCCGAGTGGTTAAAGTTCTGTGGGCTCTGCTTTGGCAGCCTGGGTTCACAGGTTCGGATCCCAGGCACAGACCTACTCCACTCACCAGCCACGCTGGTGTCCCACATACAGTGGGGCAGTGTCCCACACAGAAAAAAAGTGGAAGAGGATTGGCACGGATGTTAGCTCTGGGCTGGTCTTCCTCAAGCAAAAAGAGAAAAAAAGAGGAAGATTGGCAACGGATGTTAGCTCAGGGTGAATCTTCCTCAGCAAAATAATTAATAAATAAATAAATAAACAAACAAACTCCAATTAAGGAAAGCTAGTTTCTCAGAATACAAGACAGGTTTTCCCAAGAGAAGATCCTTTGAACACCTAACATACAATGTGAATATATATTAAACTTTGTGTTTGTTTATTTGTAAGGACTAGATCTCAGCATGGCAGCGTCCTGGTCTGCAGCCCCGCACTGGGAGGCACCGCCATTTGTGGCTGAAGTTCTAAGCCACTGAAGTCCAGGCATAACCTGTGTTCACACCTCTGCCGGGTGATCCCCACTCTCCTGTCTGTGTACGAACAGACCAGCGCGGGGCATGGGGGCTCTGTAGGCAAGAAACTGAGCTATGTGGTTTTGGGAGGGCAGGTGTGGGACATGAACGGGGAGCCCCAGCCACTTCAGGTACCCAATGATAATGTCAGAAGCAGGAAATAAAGGAAAATATCCCTGCAAAAAGCCCCCTGGGTTGCTAGAACGTTCTTAGAATAGGCTATAACTCTTCTTTTCCATGTATATAAATGAGATTTAATATATATTCTTAACAAATGTGTTGAGACAAAGTATCACATAGAAATCTTAGGTGGAAAAAGTTAGAGCCAAAATAATATATTGTGTGATTTCCATTTCTTCTGAACACGTTTACATCCCTTCCAAAAGAAAAACGATAAAAGTTAAATCTGAATTATTTAGTTTCACCAACTTCCCATACCAGTTTTATGTTAATATGATGATGTCAACAGTGGTAGGTGTGTTTCCTTCTAAGGTTTATTTTCTCTTAGCTGTCAACCCAATCGAGCTGCAAAGACTACCCAAGAGTGACCTCTTGTGGCGATATGAAGTTTTACCCAGAACGAGTCAGGCCTCAAAGCTTTTTCTAAGGCAACAAGTTCCAATTTGTCAGATACATATCTATTTTCCTTGGTGAAATATGACTTTTTGCATCAAGTGAAGAAGCCACAGATAATGTCAACTGCACACATCATGTGTTACTTGCGAGGCTGTTCTGTCAGTCAGCAAACAGCTTACTCTAGAATACGAGGATGACAAGGACGTGTAGCAGAAACTTCAGGAAAAAGGAAAGGAGGTGGCAAAAAATCCGAAATGTACGCCCCTACAAAGCTTGACTTTCCTGCAGAGGGAGCGGGGGTTGTCGAGTGGGACTGCTCTGAAGGGGATCGGAACAAAACAGCATCTCAAAGCCAGCCATTCACTCTGGTGAGTTGCCTCTGCATTTTTTAAGCTGGGGTTGGCCACTAGATGGGGTATATAACGAAAGATGGGGCTTCAAATCAATAGGGAAAAGATGGATTATTTAATAAATAGTTTTGGAACAACTAGATAGCTGAAAGGGAAAGAGTTGTATTCTTATTTTACTCTTTATTCTAAAATGAATTTCAGATGGAAGAAAAATTGGAACACTAAAAAGATAAAAAGGCAACCCTTAAAATACATGAAATCCTAGAAGAAAAACATTAAGGGGGAATCCTTCATAAACCCAGACTCCATAATGCGAAAAAGAGATAAATATGACTACATAAGCCTGTTTTAAAAATCCTGCAGAGAATAAAAATACAAAATAGGAAGAAAGGGAAAACTTGGGGAAATATTTGCACAACACACATACACACACACACACCAGAAACAAAGGTGTGACCTCCTGCCTATGCAGCATTCCTAACGATCCAGAGATCCAGAGGAAAAGGCCTCCGGCCAAAAGAACAATAGGCAAAAGGTATGAACAGACCCTCACGGAAAATAAACTTGTCAGAAGGGGCACTTGACCTTATTCACAGCAACCAAAATTAACAGAAAGAGATACCATATATCACATATCTGATTTGTAAAGGAAAAAAAGCCTGATAATCCTCTGTGTGAACAAGCCTGTGTGGAAAGTCACTGGCATCCATACTTGGGACTGTCAACTGGTCTATCTTCTTTGGAAGACCAAATTTTGGCATTGTCCATCAAAACCAAAATGGCCCGTGCAATTGCAGTTCTAGAACGTATTATACTTCCATAGGTAAAACGCAAAAGCCAGTGCGTGCTGCAGGACTGTGTTAAGAGTGCAAACAAGAGTGTTGCCTACAAGGGATGGATGGGGACCCGGTTAAGGGGATCATGACACATGCAAACAATGGAGTATGACCCAGCTGGAAAAGACACCAGAGCCAATCTACTGCACAGCTGTGGAATCACTGCTAAGACGCAGCAAGCTTTTAAAAAACACAACGAAGTATGTACAGCACATTATCATTTGTGTGAAACGGGGAGATTCCCTTGTTTGAAGTTTGGTAAGAGCACATATATTTTTAGACTATATATAAAAAATAGGGTTGGGATAGGAAAAGAAAAGGCCACACAAGTTTGTGGAATCTATTATTCTTTTGGCTTGTTAGCTGCCAAAGTAATTTTTTCTGGTTAAAAAAAAGAAATACGCCTGACACAAAAGCTATGCATTATATGATCCATCCATGTAAAATGTCCAGAGAGGGAATTTCAGAGACAGAAAGAGGGTCAGTGGTGGCCAGGGGCTAGAGGAAGAGGGAATGGAGAGTGACTGCTAGTGGGTACAGGTTTCTTTCTGGGTTGATGAAATGTTCTGGAATTAGACCATGGTGATGGATGCACAAATCTGTGAATATACTAAAATCCACTGAACTTGCACTTTAAATGGGTGAATTGTAGATATGTGAATTATATCTCAATAAAGCTGTTATTAAAAACAAGTTACATCTTATGCTCGTGTCCCCCTGTGCCCCCCTTGTTCACCTCTAACCTTCAATCAGGCCAGTGGATTTGCCAGATTTGAACGCAGATTCCACTGTGTGACTTAAGTTTAGAAGTAAACTGCAAGCACTTCTAGTAGAAATTACTCCAAAATGGTGCTCACATTCCCCTGACTTCTTCAGCAGACAGCATTGAGCGTGCTTCATCCTGGAGAGCCAGGCTGAGGGCTATGACACAGGGCTGCTCCCCACCCTGTCGCCGCCTGGCTGGGGTCTGTGCAAGTTAACTTTCTGCTTCTGTCTTTTACATATTTATGTCTCCTTCCTGTCAATGGCCACCACCTGCTGCTGTCAGAGGCCCATCTCCAGCTGGCCCGTTCTTCCTCCTCTTCCGTGCTGGGAACCTAAGCTGTCACAACAGCAGCTTAGCACATGACGGGGCTCTTCTAAGAATCAGGACCTTGGCTTTCTGGGTTACTCCTAAGCTTTTCAGTTCAATTCTAAGTCTTCAGCTGGGCCACCGGTGGATGAGGGAGCCAAATGAGGGATGGGTATTTGCAGTTTAAAGCTGTCCCAAAGCTTGACGGTGGCTGGTCACTCTCATGGCACATTTATCAGCTTCCTTGGTTTCTCACTGGACTGGCGGACAGAGGTCTCCTTTACCTCTCCCTTCCTGACAGAGGCCCCTACCTGGGCATTAAAACTCCACTCCATCCTTTTTTCCTTCCCAGCTAGCAGCTGCACAGTTCTCCCAGGTCACTTTGAGCCACCACGTCTCAGGCTGCAGTAAAGCACTCTGTATCAACTCAGCATTCTACCATCGTCATCCTTGACTCTGAGCTCTGTACTGATTGCTGCTCCCTTCCTTGAGTCTCTGCAGAGCCCTCCAGATCTGCTGCTCAGGACTGTTCTCTTACACCACTCGGTGTACCTGCTCTCTGATGCTTTTAGTGACATGTCAGTTTCTGTCCAACTTACTCATTTTATACCGTAGCAATTGTTCTACCACCCCACGGTGTTGGCTGCCTGCTGCCCTGTTATCTACAGGCACTGGCTCTGGGTAGGCTGTGGCCCCTCAGTTTTCTAACTTGGATCATCATGCATGAGGTTGTCTTCAGCGGGGAGTGCTTACTGAGCAGCTGGGCCTATGGAATTCTCCCTCTGCAGTGGCTTTGCAGCCTGGGACCAATTTTACTGTGAATTTCCTCAGTGTAGGGATTCTCGCACCACGGGGACAGTGCATATCCCACTGCACATCTGCATGTGGCACAGACTCTCAGTTTGATTTCTCATGGCTGGCTATTTTCTCCCCCATTCAAAGGCCTGGGTAAAGACTAGCTTTCCTCCTGGGCCACAGGTGAGAGATCTAACTTTCATCTCTCTTCTCTCTGGAGGCCCCTACATGGGTATTAACACCCAAGCCACCACCTGAATCTGATATCCATCCCCTAGGCCACCCGAGCAAGGCTTTCAGCCCCTTTATTTCTTGGCCCCAGAAAGCTCCCTTTCTTTCTTGGTGCTCTGCAGACACAGATTTCTTTTTTAAAATTCTGTTCTACTTTGCCTACCATTTCCAAGTGTTTACAGTAGGAAGGACTAGCTTAGTCAACTGTCTTGTTAATTAAAAGCCTTATTTTCTAATTAGGCTCATTACCTTTATAATCAGAAAAAAATAACTTAAAAAAACCCACAAATAAAACACATTCTTTGCTGAAAACAAATATGTGTGTGTGTGTGTTTTCTTTCATGAGTGATTAAATATTAACCAGATGACAGCTCTCTGCTCTGGAGGTGAAGCCTGTAGCCTACTTACTTGGTCATTTGCAAAATAAAGTGTTAAGTAATTTAAAACACGCTTCCTTATCTAATACACAGGAAAAGGAAAAACCAACTGGCAAACGCAGAAATCTGCCTGGCATCGCCTGTGCAGTACCTCTTGGCTCCACCTGCGTCAGGTGAAACAATGATACAGTTCTTCCACTCGGCGATGTGCTCTCGGATCCACTGCAGAACTGCAGGCTCCGCGTACAAATTATCCACGGGAATGTCAAAGAACCCCTATGGGGAGAAGTGAGTGTCACACTGCAGGGTTTTTGAAAAGGTAACCTCTTTCATTAAATAAAATTTGAATTTTTTATTCCAAAGATGACTTTTCAACAGACTCCCTTTTCTTAAATTTAACAGAATTAAATCAAAAGACAGATATGTTCTAGGAGCATATTTCAGTCCAATTCATTATCTTTGGGGACACGTTCTACCATCTTATGATTACCGATCTTCTAAGGCATAGGAGAATGGCTCTGCAGGGCAATGGAGAAGAGGTCTGTTGTTTCTTAAGTCCTTTATTATAAGCCAAATACTTCACATTCATTACCTCAGAGAGTGGGCAGAGTATAACTTGGCCTGGTTTACAGATGAAGGAAGGAGGCTATGAAGTGGTTAAAAAACATACATTACAACTCTGCCATACTAACTATATTCCAGAAGGTGAAATGAAATTATAGAGTTTACTACCAAGAAGCCATTCCCACTCCTCCAAAACTGACCGGAAATAAGGAGGTGGTGGAGACAGGCGATCTCAACATTAAATCATATTTCCAAGTTCCGTAAAGTCAGAAATCCAAGAGAGTCGCCATATACACACTCAAACATGAGTAACATTACCCCCTTCGAAAATTATTTAACTTAACAGAGAGTTAGGATTTAACCACTTGCATTAAGCCCCTGATCACAACCAAGGGCAAGAAAGAAAATGCCAGAACCTGGATCTGGGAGGCATGCAGGTCCATGGTGATGATGTGATCCGCCCCAGCCACCGAGAGCATGTTGGCCACAAGTTTTGCAGAAATCGGAGCACGACTCTAAAAAATAAAAACATGGGTTTTATAACAGGAAAAGAGAAGGGAAGAGATGGATACCCCTAGATTCCTCCCACTAAGATTTACATGAGAAAGATAAATCACAGATGATTTATTACACGTCCACAGAGAAAATTAACATCAATAATTTAAAATTATTAAATTATTTAATACTTTAATACCTTAAATTATTTAATTATTAATAATAATGAAGAAAATTACATGTTATAACAACAAAAGATATTTGCTCCATTTTATTCACCAAATATTTACTATTTACATATACTACTGTGAGGCAAATACTGGACACTGGGCATAGAGAATGAATATCAAAGAAGCAAACAATTAAACATATATACATGTAATATCACAATTGGTATAATTCAAATTGTGACAAGTGTGTAGAATAAGAGGTACCGAGAGAGAAACGATAGCATGACAGACACTGAGTTTAAAGAGGCTGGTTGTCAGAGGCCCCTCTGAGGAAACTGTTTTCAAGGCAAGGCTGGCAGAATCAGGGAGACCCGTGTTCCAGAAAGAGTGGCATGTGTGACATCACCAAGGCCGAGAGGTCACATCCAGGGACTGAATAAAGTCCAGCATGGCTACAGGCAATGATCCAGGAGAGAATGGAAGGGAATGCTGGAAAGGAAGGCAGGGGCACATCCTGCAGAGCCCCGAAGGCCAAGGCCAGCTCTTAAAGAAGAGTTTATGTACTGCAGCTGGAAGCTAATGCTATCACAAATTAAACAAAAAGCAGATCAAAGAAAGAATACCTTAAGGTGACTGATGATTTGATATTTATTTTTTTTTGTGAGGAAGATTAGCCCTGAGCTAACATCTGTTGCCAATTCTCCTCTTTTTACTGAGGAAGACTGGCCCTGGGCTAACATTCGTGCCATCCTCCTCTACTTTCTATGTGGGACGCCACCACAGCATGGTTTGATAAGCGGCACATAGGTCCATGCCTGGGATCCGAACCTGCGAACCCTGGGCGGCCAAGGTGGAGTGTGCAAACTTAACCACTACGCCACCGGGCCGACCCCTGATTTGATATTTGAGAAAGAGCTGCATCATGATTTATTGCCACTGTATTCCCTTTAAAGTTACCTAAGTTCTCCATAGCTGTAGCTTCCACATCATAAATTATGGACAATAACTCTGTCCACATCAAAAGAATCCAAGAGACTATACAGACATATGACTAGACCTAGGAAAAGAGTTCAACATTTTGCTGTAAACAACAGTATTCCTACACAACAGTCACAAAAAAGAAAATATAAGCTTAAAAGAAGATTTCATTCAAAATAGTAACAAATAAATGATCCCTGTTAAATACACATACACACAGTATATTCATGTAAAAACACAGATTATTTGTATTTTCTCTAATACACCATTCTTTTTTTTTTAAAAAAGAAACATATTACTTTATAAGAATACACATATATATACACATCTTTAGACACACACACATACATTTCTTTCAACACACAAAGAATGAGAGGAAACACCCCGAAATGTTAATAGTAGATGTTTCTAGAAAGTGAGATTATGGGAAAATGTTTTTCTAATCTTTTAAAAATTTTTCAACCTTCTCAATTAACTACATATTGTAACATGTTTTCATTGTTTAACTCCCCTGTTCTGTTCCACATTGCCTTTGGGACAAAAAGCCCTCCAGCCAGTCTGGCTCTAGCCAGCTGGTCCTCCTCCGCGCCTCAGCTACAAGGGTCCTTCCTGTACTGTGTACTGGCCACTCCCTCCCCCCTCTAGAGAACACTTTAAGCCTTGCCAGCTACACCCACACGCCTGCCTTGCCCCCATTCCACTCTCGTCTCTGCTGAGTCAATGCATTTGATCCTCCAGATCTGGTTCAAATCTCCAAACTTTTTTTTTTCCCCCCCAAATCTCTCAACTTTAAGGCACTCTGAGAACTCCAGAGAAAGGATCTGTCCCTTCTAAACGGACACAGCATCAGCTAAGCATTCGGCCCCCACCATTTGGGAGTGCCTTATGCCGCCTGTGGACAGACTGACATTGGAAGATATTACAGGGCCGGCCCCGTGGCTTAGCAGTTAAGCGCACGCGCTCCGCTACTGGCGGCCCGGGTTCGGATCCCGGGAGCGCACCGACGCACGGCTTCTCCGGCCATGCTGAGGCCGCGTCCCACATAAGCAACTAGAAGGATGTGCAACTATGACATACAACTATCCACTGGGGCTGGGGGGGCGGGGGGAAGGAGGAGGATTGGCAATAGATGTTAGCTCAGGGCTGGTCTTCCTCAGCAAAAAGAGGAGGATTGGCATGGATGTTAGCTCAGGGCTGATCTTCCTCACACACACAAAAAAAGATATTACATGTACGGATGCCATAGTTCACAACTAGACTATGCATCCCTCAAGCGCAAAGAATTGGTTTTGGAGATTTTCACATCAGCTGCAGCACACAGCTCTGTACCTTGCATACAATAGTTCAATAAATATTTAATAATGACACTAAATTTCCACAGCTTAGTCATTAGCCTCACTGACTGTGAGAATTATTTAGCCTAACAAAATTCCAGGATAATTAAAAGAACAAATTGATGGCTGGGACTTCTTTGTAATAGAATCTGACATGTGACACTAATCAATTTGGGGCTCTTGCTATAATTTCATAACCAGCAAAAACATTCCTCCGTTCTCATCTCTCAGTGGCATCGAGCATTTCTTACTTCTGAGATCCAAACCACAGGGGTAACTTCTACGTTCATATTTTCTGATTTCCTTTTTCAGTTCTTGATTACAAATTTGGTTATTGTAATGTGTTTCATAATTTGGCTCAATACCCAACTGAATCTTGCAGGAAAAGTGATTTACAAGTTAACTGACTTTATAGCTAATAAGGAGAAAAATTAGTATGGCATTTCAACAAAGGTGGAGTCAAGGTACAAGAACCCATAATAAAACATTCAACTCCATTAATGAAAAATGGATAAAGGTCAAACGTTTTGTGCGCCACCTGAATCATGACAAGGACTCCAGATATTCCGGATCTCATTCAATGTATCAGACGCTGCCCTGCTAAAAGCGTAAATTTGATAAGCTTTCAACATTTACAAGATTGTAGAAATTCGTGTCAGGACAACTGTCCTCATTTTTTCTGGTTAAGAAACAAAAAGAAACAATTTTATCACTGAAAAGAGAACATAACCTTGAAAATGATTTTGAAAAATGCTACAAGTCTTCTATCCCCTCAAAAGTAATGATTTCCAGCCTTGCCCACGTCACACTGTTTTTACCAGGGAAGAAAACCAGCAATCATTGAGTGTCCATGATAGCAGGCATCAGCCAACTGCAGCCCGTGGGCCAAACCGAGCCTGTGGTCTGTTTTTGTACAACCTGTGAGCTAAGAATGGTTTTTACGTTTTTAAGTTGAAAAACAATCAAAAGAAGAACAATGTTTTGTGACATTTGAAAAGTATATGAAATTCATATTTCAATGTCCGTAAATAAAATTTTACTGGAACACAGCCTTCATTTACATATTACATATGGCTGCTTTCATGCCAAAATGACAGAGTTGAGCAAGTGCAACAAAGAACTGGTGGTCCACAAAGCCTAAAGAATTTGACACCTGGCCCGTTTTGGAAAAAGTCTGCCCACTCGTGTATTCTATGCTAAGCAATTTATAAATAGTAGCAAATACTATCCTTAATTTACAGATGAGGAAATTAAAGAACGCACAGAGTTTAGGCTATTTTTACAAAAGACAAACTGAGTAAATAATGGTACTGAAATTCAAACCTGAGGCCACTTGATTCCAAAGTTGCAACCCCAGAGCTCAAACCACTCCCCACCATGCCTTTTACAATGAACACTGAATCACCCTAATTTCTCCATGTTAGTATGACATTGTGCTAATGTGTCATAATTTATGAATCCATTCCCTCACTGTCAGAACTTATGCTCTGGTTTCTTGCACATACAAATAAAACCAAAAATAAAATTTTACAGACATGCAGGGCTTGCTTAAAAAGAAGCAGTGAGATGAAAAATAACGACACAAGCTTTGAATACAGTTAAAAGGTTCTAGCTTTTTCTGGGCTTCTTTGCAGGTAACTCTAAGTAGATCAATTACATGGAATTCCATTGTGTCTTAGATGTCGCAGGCAATACAGTCCTATGGGAAGGAAAAGGACAGGAGAAAGTTGGGGGGAGAGGGGGGATGTTGCCCAGGGCTCCTCCTATGGCCAAGGAGGAGAACTTTCTTTCTGAGCCCAGAGAGCAAGTGTGGCCCATGACTTCCCATCCCATTCAAACACTACATGGGCTTTAGCCTACCTAAGGGAAGCAAAAGGGGGAAGAAGTGTCTTCGCCCATCACTGTCTCCTCACCGCTCACCCGCCTATCACTGTCTCCTCATCACTCACTCTTTCCGGTAAATGAAGTATGCCCATGGGCTCAGGCCATTTCTCTTAAGCATTTACTAAATCCCTTAATATCCTCACTTCAACAATTTCCCCGATACAAAGCCAATCCATGTGATCTAAGGAAAGAAATGGTTATAAAAATTATTAGCAGCAATTTTAAAAATACAAAGGCATACCTTAAATGATATACAAAATTAAAAATTTCCCTTTCAACTAGTTTGGTGAAAGAATGAAACTCTCTCTCTTTAACGAGTCACACTGACTATAGAGACATGTCAGAAATGAGAGTTCCAGAACAATCTACATGTCTTGGCCACCTCTGAGGTCAGGCCCAAAGCTACAGGCCTATACAAAAGGTGGCCATGTGTCAGATTCACCCAGGACATTTGGGGTGGACACTTGCTTCCTGGCATAATTATTCATAGAGCCCCCTTTCAAGCTCTCAAGTGTCCTGGCTTAGATGATAAATGACCATCTCAAAGCTTGAACTGTCCTGAAAATATCCACTTATTAACACATTAATGACTTCCTTCAAGGCCCTGGAGTAGGCTGAATGGTGGCCCCAAAGATATCAGGTCCTAATCCCCAGAACCTGTGTAACTGTTACCTTACTTGGAAAGAGGGTCTTTGCAGATATGATTACATCAAGGATTCTGAGATAGAGAGATTACCCTGGAGAGCCCTAGATGCTATCACATGTCTTCTTAAACTGGGAGGTTTGACAGAGACAAGAGAAGGCCATGTGAAGATGGAAGCAGAGGTTGGAGTGATGCGCCTCAAGCCAAGGAACGTGGCAGCTACCAGAAGCTGGAAGGGACCAGGAAGGATCCTCCCCTACAGCCTCTGGAAGGGGCATGGCTCTGCCGCACCATGATTTGTGACTTCTGGCCTCCAGAACTGTGAGAGAATACATTTGTGTTGTTTTAGGCCACCCAGTTTACAGTAATTTATTACAGCAGCCCTAGGAAACTAATACAGCCCTCCATGAATCCTTCTTTTCTATCAGTTTCTCTAACAATAAGCCACACAATTTCTGAACTCAGGATTCCCTCGGCTGCTATTCATGCTGTCTCTCAATTGTTATCACATCCTTGCTTGCGTTGTTGATGGGGAATGTCTTATCTCTTCCATCAGCAGTTAAGTTTGGAAAGTTGTGGAATTGTCTGATTGGGTTAAAAACTAAAAGCAGCTACCATGTTGCTTTTAAGAAACACACTTACAGCAAAGTGAATAAGAAAGACTGAAAGGAAGGAAAGAAACGTGCTCAAAATGGCCCCTAATGGAAAACCCATCTACATGTCTGACAATAGGAAAACGGATAAAGAGCTAGTCAGAGTGCGACGCAGTTCCGCTGAACAGTTAAACCCACTGGGGGTTAAGAAATCTGAGGGCTCTTTCTGTCAGCACAGCAGCAGGAGGCTCTGCTGGCAAGTAGAGGCCAGAGGCCAGGAGTGCCGGCACCTCCTCTGTAAGGCAGGAGATGGGCTCATGCAAAGGGTGGGGGCCAGATAGTGCTATTTCTCTTTACAACAAAGACTTCATTATGAATAAACATGAGAAACAAAGTTTGAAAATACAATCTTAGAAACAGAGGTAACTGCAAAGCAGATACTTGCAAACAAAAAATGCAGGCGTCTCTGGATATTTGTATCAAAGTCAGGATTACAAATCACGACACAGCGGGAAAGGGCCATCGGGAAAGGGCCACGTAATGATAAAAGGAATCATTTACCGAAGATAAAATGTATCAAGTAACTTAGCACCAAATGCAAAAGCTACTAGAAGCGAAAGGAGAACCTGATTACAAATCACAGAATATAGAATTTACTAAACCTCCCGTCATGTGGAAGAGAGAGAGTAACAGAATATTAGCTCCTTTCTGACACGGACAAGGAGGAAGATGCTAAACAAGCCCATGGAAACACACAGATGGGAGGGTTAACTAAAACAGACTATTTCGATGGGACAAAATGAATAAATTGAAATTCAGCACCTAAAAATGCACATAAAACTTTCAAATCAAGTTTAGGATGAAAGAAGCTCCGTAAATAACAAGTGGGTGGTCCAATGCTTCACAGCAGCATATGTCACCCAAGGTTTTAGCTGCTCACAAGCTAAAGCTAAGTCACAAAGTGACAGCCACACACACACATCTGACCAATCAATGCTCTAATCCAGGGGTCAGAAAACTGCAGCCCGTGGGTCAAATCCGACCAGCCACTTGTTTCCGTACTGCTTGTGAGCTAATCATCATTTTTACGTGACTACATAGTTGAAAGAAAAATCAAAAGAACATTTCATGGCATGCAACAATTATATGAAATTCACATTTCAGTGTCCATAAATAAGTTTTATTGGAATACAGCCATTCACCTATGTATTGCCTGTCTGTCTCTGAGGTACAACCAGAGTTCAGTAGTTACCACAGAGACCATACAGCCTTTACAGAAAATTTGCTGACGCCTTCTAATATATATGGTAAATCACATCTCAAGTGTGGAATGGAGTTCTGGAGATCAAATTTTCAGTGAGAAATTAACAAAGCCGTGTTCAGCCTGGGGTCTGGAAACCACACCTGAAGAGTTTGGCATTAAAATTTAGGCGAACTTTGGTATATGAATTCAAATTTATAAAGGAATTTTTTCATATATGAGATCTTGTGTGCTGTTTAGAAATTGGCATTGTTTCAGAAAATGAATTACGGAGATAAATGGAGGTGTATTGGGGGAAACCTTTCTCATAATTAGTTACCACATCACAGAACAGCAGTGTGTCTTGTAAACTGGGAAGGAGACATGCAGAACCTGACTGGACATCTCTTCATAAGATATAGAGCAGATAACACATCAAGAGTTGATCCCTGTAGTGTGTTGAATGCTATCCCCCAAAAACTCACATCCACCCAGAACCTTAGAATGTGACCTCATTTGGAAAGAGGGTCTTTGCAGATATAACTAAGGTAAAGATCAAGATGAGATCACTCTGGATTAGGATGGGCCCTAAAGCCAATGACTGTCCTTTTATAAAAGAGAAAAGGACACACAGAGACACAGGAAAGAAGGCCATGCAAACACAGAGGCAGAGATGGGAGTGATGCCACCAGAAGCCAAGGCACGCCAGGAGCCACCAGAAACCAGAACAGGCAAAGAAGCCTTCTCCCCTAGAGTCTTCAGAGGGAGTACAGTTCTGCTGACACCTTGATTTGACGTCTGGCCCCCAGAACTCTGAGAGAATATATTTCTGCTGTTCTAAGCCACCCAGTTTGTGGTAATTTGTTACAGCAGCCCTAGGAAACTAATACAGTCCCCTTTAAAGTTCCCCTCAAACTCCAACTTCTCTGAGTTTTCTTAAAAGCAAAAAGACCATATCTTCTTCAATTTCTTCTAGAAACTCACGGAGCCTCCTATAGTGCCAGTGTTGCTAAAAGAATAATTCAACAACATTAACTTCATTCTTCTTGAAAGGTTAAGAAGAGATAATGGTATATTTTTAAAATTAAACTTTTTATTTTGAGATAATTGTAGATTCATATACAGCTGTCAGAAACAACGCAGAGGTCCAGTGTGCCCTTTACCGAGTTTCTCCTCATGGTAACATTTTGCAAAATTACAGTACAATACCACAACCAAGATACCAACAGTTGATACAATCCACTGATCTGCTTCTCATCCTGACTTGCCCGGTTTGTGTACTCACTGGGTGGGTATGTGTATTTATTCTATCCACTACATAAAGATACACAACAATTTCATCACAAGGACTATAATGGTATTTTAATATCTGCAAAAATATGCTTTATCTGTTTCTGTATCTATAAATATTAACATGATGGCTGGCTCAAAGACAAATCTTTGAAAAAGCCAAGGTGAGAAAGCATATTTACTTGACCATTAAAATAGAAAGCAAACATTTTCCAAATTTTGAGATAACATGTGAGGAAAAAAATGTAGACGTTAACCCAGAGCACGTTCCTCCAAGAGGACACAGCCCTCATACCTTGTCCTTTTTATCTTGTCGGGCGTATGGGAAGCACGGGATGACTGCGGTCACCCTGGACGAGGAGGCGATCTTGCAGGCGTTGATCATGATGAGGAGCTCCATCAGGTTGTCGTTGATTTCTCCGCAGCCACTCTGGATGATATAGACATCTTCCCCTCTCACGCTTTCGCCAATCTCCACACTACGAAAAGAAAGATGCCATCCGTTAACATTCAAGTATATTTGTGTCTTGGGGGGTCCCCAAGACCACCCCCAGGTGTGATGATTCGCCAGGACTCAGCATACAGTTGTACTCATGACTATGATTCATTACGGTGGAAAGATACACAGCAAAATCAGCAAAGGGAAAAGACGCACAGGATGAAGTCTGGGGGAAACCAGGCACAAGCTTCTAGAGTCATCCCCCAGTGGAGTCACCCAGGTTGACCTTAATTCCCCCAACAACATGCTGTGACAACACGTGTGAAGTACTGTCTCCCAGGGAAGCTCATTAGAGCCTCAGTGCCTGGGGTTTTATTGGGGGCTGGTCACATAGGCATCCTCTGCCTGGCACATACCGTAATTCCACACTGCCAAGGATTCGGCCTTAACCACACGGTTTACACAGCTTAGCACTGAGCCACTCCTCTCAGGGAATGGCAGGACCCCTCACAAAAACTAAGTTCCCAGAGGCCAGCCAAGGGCCATCTTGCAAGCAGGCCTTTTTCATATATGAGGGGATCTTATATGCTCTCTAGAAATTTGGCTCCATCCTGTTATGTTAACTCTTTTCTGCTAAATATTATTATAATTAGTTTTAGCTTTTTACTTTTATTAAAGTTACATATACACATTGCTTAAAAAATTCAAATCATCCTATAAGGCTTATAACAAATAAACAGCCCAGAGGCAACCAATTTCAACGCTTGATGTGGTTTGTAGATATTTATCTTCAAGTCTCTAGCTAATGTTTGTATTGTTTCATGTTGCTTTTTCATTTCAGGCATCATGGGCTGACTTCTCACTATGAAGATGAGGATTTAACTCTTTCCCCTCTGTCCCATCACCCGCATTGTATGCAGCCTTCCCATCTCATCTCACCATCATCCCAACACAGACCAATATTCTAACCGAATATGAGCACTACATTTCCACTGTGTACATGCTGTTCAGAGCAGAGCCATATAGGACACTTAAAGCAATATTTCCCTTTTATACACAATGTTTTTTGGTTTGTTTTCCCTGGAGGAAATTATCCTACCTTTTGATCTAAGTTTACTAAGTACTGAATGCAAATTCCAGCCTAAACCTGGCTAACAATCTAAATCCCGCGATGTCAGAGGCCTCCAGCGCAATCTCCATTTCATCCTCCTGCCCAGGTTTCTCCCAGAGCTGGCTGACCTGGGTTCTCTTTCTCCCTGTGCACAGCTGCCCCCCAGGGATTCCCTCCGCCCCTCTCCTGCACCCGATTTCCCACTTTCTATATCCTCTTTCTTGGTGTACTTCCTTGTTTTGCTGGTTGGCATCCTCCAGTAGCTTCTTGAGAAAGTGTAAATAAGAGCTTTGCAGGTCTTTGAAAATTACATGTTGGAAAATTTCTGTATTTTGGGTACAGAATTCTGAGTATTCAACATGAGAGCAAGCCAGCCCATCACTGGTGTGTGCCTTCCATGGGAAGAAAAGCAAAATAGTGCCGTGTGCTCAGGCAGGTCCTTCACAGAGCACTGCCTAAGAACCAAAGAGACCATCAGCTCTGCTACAACGCTTGTTTTGAAAAGGCAAATTTGTTCCAACGATTGATATACTAGGAATAATTTGAGCATAACATGAATTTTGCGTTTGCTTACACATGACCTCTCATCCTAAGATGAGAATGCAGAAGACTGCCCTGCCAGCAGCTGAATAGAACCACTTAGAAATACTCCATACACACACAACCACCCCCCCACCAAGGACAAGAGCCACACCCATCCACATCTGGCATCACAACCTTCCACACATCTCAGATCACCTTCCTCTGTCCTCCTCACAAGAACTCAAAAGCTGCAACCCTTCGGAGACCCACTTCAACAAGCAAGCTGTAGGTCTTTTTCAACGTAAAGTACCATATTTATTGTAGCATTTATGTTTTTTTCAAACATGTAATACGTGTAAAAGTGTTTTACCATTTTTAGTATATTCCCATCTTTTTTTAATGATACCGAGGAAGTTTTGAGTGTTGCACCCCACCCCATTTTTCCCATAAACCTTATGGTTTTTATTGTATGATTTTGCACAGCATGGTGATTTTTAGGAATGCATATGTCACGTTACAGCAGAACCGACTATAAATGAAAGGCTCACCCAAAAGAGAGATATAATGAATCTTATTTTAAAATTATAAGTGAGGTACGTAAATAATTACCCTTACCTCTTCTCTTGCTATCAGAAGCCAATTATAGCCAGTGTTGTTGTTTTATTAAAAGAGTCAATTATTTATAAAGAAAATTTAAAAATAAGCTGACATTTGGGATACCATGTAGCAGTCTATCTGAATCAACAGAAGCTTCTACCGAACATCAAGTGAGTAATCAGAAGACAAAAATGAAGTTTTTCAAGTTGACATGATCTGAAAATGAGTTTTGGTAACAGTGGGTGATTTCTGCATGCTCTCTGCTATGGATGGAAACAGTACGATGCCAACCTCAGGATGAGAGGGACAGACAGAATTCTATGTGTGCCCTCCTATTCTGAGTTCTAAGGAGCTATGAATATCACTATCAGTGGTGAGATGAAGTCAATTTGGAAATCACTGTCTTATAGCTCAGGGGTCGACAATCTACCACCCACGAGCTGAGAATGGTGTGGTGAGCAGAATAATGGCCCCCCAAAGATGTCTATGTCCTAATTCCAAAAACCTGGGACTATGTTAGTTTACATGGCAAAGGGGAAACAAACTGGCAGATGGAATTAAGGGTACTAATCAGCTGACCTTAAAACAGGGAGATTATCCTGGATTATTCGAGTGGCCCAATGTAATCCCAAGGGTCCTTAAAAATGGAAGAGGGAGACAAAAGAGGTCAGAGTGAGAGAAAAAGATATGAGGACTGAAGCAGGGTCAGAGAGATGCTATATTGCTGGCTTTGAAGATGGAAGAAGGGGCCAAGAGCCAAGGAATGCAGGCAGCCTCCAAAAGCTGGGAAAGACCAGGGAACGGATGCTCCCCTAGAGCCTCCAGAAAGGAGCACCGTGACCCATGATGGACTCTTAACCTACACAACTGTAAGATACGGCAGCAACACAGACGATGCGGCCCGCAAAGCCTCAAATATTTAATGTCTGGCCTATTACAGGAAAAGTTTGCCAACTCCTGGTATTACGACTGTTCATCCCAAAAGATCAGCCTCATTGGCCTATTTTTCCTCAGGAATCCCCATATGACTAGCAGTCCAGGGGAAGACAGAAAATACCATCACCATGGCAACTTTTTTCCCAAAGCTATTCCTGCTTCTACTCATAAAGATGATCACGACCGATCTTTATTCTAGGTCTTTTAAAAATTATGGCCAGAAGGCAGCATCCATTTGCTGTTCAGACAGAGGATCTTTACTGATTCCGAAATAAGAAGGCAGATTCCGAAATAAGAAGGCAGATGAGTTTATCTGACTCAACAATGAATGGGCGTGGTAATTAAAAGATGGCCGGCCGCAGTCGCTTTAACACTTTTCCCATCAAGAAGTGGGGTCTGGGGCCAGCCCAGTGGCATAGGGGTTAAGTTCACACATTCCGCTTCAGTGGCCCAGGGTTCGTTTGTTCGGATCCTGGGTGCGGACCTACTCACTGCTCATCAAGCCATGCTGAGGCAGTGTCCCACATAGAAGAGCTACAACTCTACAACTACGATACACAACTACGTACCAGAGCTTTGGGGAGAAAAAAAGAAAAAAGAGGAAGACTGGCAACAGATGTTAGCACAGGGCCAATCTTCTTCTTCAAAAAAAAAAGAAGTGGGGGTCTATGTCTCCTCCCCTTGGATTTGGGAGGACTCTGTGCTTGACAATAGACTGTGACAGAAGTGATGATGCACCAACTTCAGGGCCCAGGCCTTAACAGACTGGTAGTTTCCACTTCTTGCCTTCCATGTCATAAGGAAGCCCAAGCAGCCCCGTGGAGAGGTACTGAGGTTCTTAACCAAGCTCCCAGGAAAAAGCTAGTACCAACTTACCAGCCATGTGAGGGAGCCATCTTAGAAGTGAATCCTCCCGCCCCACTTAACTATCCTAGATGCCACCACATGGGGCAGAAACAAGCCTTCTCTGCTGAGCTCTGCCCAAATTGCAGGTTTGCGAGTCAAATAAACAATTGCTGTGTTAAGCCGTTAAGTTCTGGGATGACTTGTCACACAATAGTAGATAACCAGAACTTTGGGTCTTTCAATACAGCTAAGGACTCTGGGGGCAGGTTAACTGACCAGGATAACATGTTACAACAGACTTTCAGACACCATCATCAGTGCTGCCCTAGGACGACACCATGGGATTTCAGCAGTCTGAAAGAATAGAATGTGAAAGCTGGGGCAGACATCTTCCTGCATATCTGAAATGATTTAGAGATGAGAAGGGAAAATCAGGAGGCTCTGTGTCTGACTAGGTAGTGTTTTAAAAATGGAGAATGGGAGCAGTGATGACCAGGAGACAGCAAACCAGATTTCTGGTCCTGGCTCAGCAACAGATTCAGGAAGGGGCCCCTTACATGAACTGAATCAATCTTCTCTTCCTTTTGCCCTTCTGTTTCTCACCTCTAAGGCCACACAGCAAAAACTGGATCACTAGCACAGTACTGGTACAGAAAGGACTGTTTATAAAACTCAACTCCGGACCTAGACAGTTCACAGGAAAGAGAAGAGTCAGGAAGTTAACCTTTTAGAGTCTAGATATTTAAAAACATAAAATGTAACTATATAAGCAATTCCCAGACTTCCATGTTGAGTGGTTTTTGAGACCTCATGATTTCTAATTATCAGGTGGTGATTATAAAACAATCAAAATCAAATAAAATTGGGTCTGCTTTACATTTAAAACATATAAACAATCATACTTCAACGTCTGAATGAGTTTCACCCAACAGTATATACAATATTTTGAGCAGAAATCCAACAGTGACTTCGCAATGGACTTCCGGTCTAGTTTAACCATGCTCTTTAGCAGCAAAGAATTGGGCTGCGCTAAGATAACAGGGAAGGGCAACATATTTGCTTTCAAAATCCACTTCATCCAGAAATTTCTCCTTTACTTATATGACACCACCTCCTGAACAAAAACTATTATCCCATTCTTCTTAAAGCCACTGAAACTTGAACAGGACTGGCAAAATATTACAACATTCAAACCTAGCTATACCATCCTTCTCCAAAGCCCTGGACCATCCTCCCAGACTTCTGTTTTAAACTCTGCAAAGCAGAATTCTTTGGCTGAAGGACTCCCAGTATTTATACCATCTGGTACTCATTCACAAACGTTTCTTCACATAGGTTCTCATCAGGGCCGTGTAACTGTGATTTCCCACCTGGAAGAAGGGATTCACATATCCTAAACAGTTGACTCAACAACAAACCCCATCTTCTCCATATGTATTAATATCACTCCTTGGTATCTAAGAAATTTTTGCCTAACCCAAGGTCATGAAGATTTTCTCCCATGTTTCCTTCTAGAAATTTCTAGTTCTAGGTTTTACATTTAGGTCTACAATCCATTTCAAGTTAATTTTTGAAATGGTGGGAAGTATGAAGGTTCATTTTTTTTGCAGCTTGCACCAATTGTTCCAGCACCACTTGTTGAAAACGTTGGTTGAATTGGACCTTTGCCAAAGATATGAAAATGATCAGTAACCGTGTACAGTGCTAAACATTTAAGCGAGAGGGGGGGAAAACGAGACCAACTTGAAATTAGTCACAGAGCTTTGAGGACTCAGGCAGCCAGAAAAGGAGCCCCTGACCCAGCTTCTGAGGGGGCCTCCAGCTTGACCTCGCTGAGCAAAGGCAACAACTTCTCGTGGACCTGACACATGGGTGGCAGTTACACTCAAGCCATAGCCCTGCTGCTGGACACAGCAGAGTCCCAGAACTACGAAGAAACTGAAAGCCCATCATCTTTGAGGCAGAAAAACCGGAGGAAGCACAAGGGAACCCAGCACGTGTGCCCTGGAGTTTTCAAGCTCTTTAAGCCCTTTGCACAACCATACCCTCTAGTTAACCCAGAGGTTTGCACCGCGGTTGCTCAGGAACGTCACCTGGGAGCTTCTACAACGCTGATTCCCAACCCGTTGGATCGGAACGTCTGGGACAGGGCGGGGAAGCGGCGTTTTAAATGGCCCCAGGTGAATCCAGTGCGCAGCCCCGGTTGGGGACGTGGGCGGAACCTTCCCTAGCACGCTCCGGGTTCGGGATCAGCCCGGCAGGGACGGAAACCCGGGCGAGCACACGCGGGGCCGTCCCTCCCCGCGGGCCTCGCGCCGATGCGGTTCCTGCCCGCGGCGCCCACCTCTCCCCGACGCTCCGTGACCGCCCCGAGGTCGCCCTTCCGGGCTGGGGCCGCCCTCCTGGGCTTCTCCCGGGCGTCGCGGCGGTGGCGCGGAGGCCGCGTCGTGGCCGTCCCGCCCCGGAAGGGGGAGCGGGAGACCGCGGAGGTGGTCCCGGGCGGGCGGCG